GTTTGAGTTTTGCACATGTATTACCAAAACGTACTAAAACAACAAAAGAAAATCACCTCAAATAAATCGAATAATAAAATGAAACAAACTAAAACTAGACTGAAATTTACTGCACATTTGAAGTAATTAAATAAATCTTTTTTTAAAAATAACTATAATAGTTTTTTGCTGGTATCTTTCTAAAATAATTATCCGCTTGGCATCAGCTTGTGTTTGCCATGTGTTTCAGACTTCTGCTGTCTGCATCTCAGTCTTATGATCACAGCGGCCAGGTCGAGCTCTGCAGGTCCACAGGCTGAAGCTGATTTAGAGAAATAAGACCTGTTAGATGCAGGAGCTGCACACTACTGACAATTAAGCCTTTCTGTATGAATGAACAGCAGTGTGGGCTTTGCTTGTCCATGCGTGTATGTGTGTGTCTTGTTTTTTTTTTTTTCAAAAATAATGTAATATTGATCAGAAAACAAAGAACAACAGATTTTTTTGATAGTTCCAATTGTCTGAAAAGTCTTTCACAGGACATAACTAGTTTCTCAGAGACTTAACTAGTCTCCCACAGACATAACTAGTCTCTCACAGGCTTAACTAGCCTCTCAAAGGCATAACTTGTCTCACAAGCATAACTAGTCTCTCACAGGGCATAACTAGTATCTCAGATTTAACTAGTCTCTCACAGGGCATAAGTAGTCTCACAGACATAACTAGACTCTCACAGACATAACTATTCTCTCACAGGACTTAACTAGTCTCTCACAGGGCATAACTTGTATCTCACAGATATAACCAGTCTCACAGGACTGAACTAGTCTCTTACAGGGAATAACTAGTCTCTCGTAGACTTCACTAGCCTCTCATAGACTTCACTAGTCTCTCTCAGGGTATAACTAGTCTCTCTCAGGGCATAACTAGTCTCTCACTAATATAACTATTCTCTCAGAGACTTCTAGTCTCTCTCAGGGTATAACTAGTCTCTCACTAATATAACTATTCTCTCAAAGACTTCACTAGTCTCTCACAGGGTATAACTAGTCTCTCTCAGGGTATAACTAGTCTCTCACTAATATAACTATTCTCTCAGAGACTTCACTAGTCTCTCTCAGGGCATAACTAGTCTCTCACAGGGCATAACTAGTCTCTCACTAATATAACTATTCTCTCAGAGACTTCACTAGTCTCTCACAGGGTATAACTAGTCTCTCACAGGGCATAACTAGTCTCTCTCAGGGCATAACTAGTCCCTCACTAATATAACTATTCTCTCAGAGACTTCTAGTCTCTCACAGGGCATAACTAGTCTCTCACAGGGCATAACTAGTCTCTCACTAATATAACTATTCTCTCAGAGACTTCTAGTCTCTCACAGGGCATAACTAGTCTCTCTCAGGGCATAACTAGTCTCTCACAGGGCATAACTAGTCTCTCACTAATATAACTATTCTCTCAGAGACTTCACTAGTCTCTCTCAGGGTATAACTAGTCTCTTTCAGGGCATAACTAGTCTCTCACTAATATAACTATTCTCTCAGAGACTTCTAGTCTCTCACAGGGCATAACTAGTCTCTCACAGGGCATAACTAGTCTCTCACTAATATAACTATTCTCTCAGAGACTTCTAGTCTCTCACAGGGCATAACTAGTCTCTCTCAGGGCATAACTAGTCTCTCACTAATATAACTATTCTCTCAGAGACTTCTAGTCTCTCACAGGGCATAACTAGTCTCTCACAGGGCATAACTAGTCTCTCACAGGGCATAACAAGTCTCTCACTAATATAACTATTCTCTCAGAGACTTCACTGGTCTCTTACAGGGCATAACTAGTCTCTCTCAGGGCATAACTAGTCTCTCTCAGGGCATAACTAGTCTCTCACAGGGCATAACTAGTCTCTCACTAATATAACTATTCTCTCAGAGACTTCACTAGTCTCTCTCAGGGTATAACTAGTCTCTTTCAGGGCATAACTAGTCTCTCACTAATATAACTATTCTCTCAGAGACTTCTAGTCTCTCACAGGGCATAACTAGTCTCTCACAGGGCATAACTAGTCTCTCACAGGGCATAACAAGTCTCTCACTAATATAACTATTCTCTCAGAGACTTCACTGGTCTCTTACAGGGCATAACTAGTCTCTCTCAGGGCATAACTAGTCTCTCTCAGGGCATAACTAGTCTCTCACAGGGCATAACTAGTCTCTCACTAATATAACTATTCTCTCAGAGACTTCACTAGTCTCTCTCAGGGTATAACTAGTCTCTTTCAGGGCATAACTAGTCTCTCACTAATATAACTATTCTCTCAGAGACTTCTAGTCTCTCACAGGGCATAACTAGTCTCTCACAGGGCATAACTAGTCTCTCACAGGGCATAACAAGTCTCTCACTAATATAACTATTCTCTCAGAGACTTCACGGGTCTCTTACAGGGCATAACTAGTCTCTCTCAGGGCATAACTAGTCTCTCTCAGGGCATAACTAGTCTCTCTCAGGGCATAACTAGTCTCTCACAGGGCATAACTAGTCTCTCACTAATATAACTATTCTCTCAGAGACTTCACTAGTCTCTCTCAGGGTATAACTAGTCTCTTTCAGAGCATAACTAGTCTCTCACTAATATAACTATTCTCTCAGAGACTTCTAGTCTCTCTCAGGGCATAACTAGTCTCTCACAGGGCATAACAAGTCTCTCACTAATATAACTATTCTCTCAGAGACTTCACTGGTCTCTTACAGGGCATAACTATTCTCTCACAGGGCATAACTAGTCTCTCAAACTTAACTCCCCTCTCACAGACATAACTAGTTTTTCACAGACATAACTAGTCTGCTACTCCTCTGCTGTGATATAGTCAGTCCTTCAGTTCACTGGCTGTAGTTCTGATTTTACCGGTGTTTAATAATGGAGTGTCCTGGTTTCACCGGTGTTTATTAAATATTTTACTGGTGTATAATAATGGAGTGTGCTGGTGTGGATTGTCTGTATTACCGCGCTCCCTCCGGACAGTAATAATCAGTATCGTTGTCTGTCCGCCGCGTCGCTCTGAAGTCTTTACCGCGCGCTGTGGTCTGATTAGCGTGTGTAAGTGTGTGTTATAGCAGAAGTGCTGATGCTGTGTTCTCTGTTAACCTGGTGCTGTGCTCTACATGGCATAATTAAATCTCCTAACCCCACTGTAATATTAGCAGAGTTTATACAGTCATTCATCACCAGGCCTCATCACGACTAGCGGAACCTGCTAGCTTAGCACACAGCTGTTGGAGAGCGCGCAGATCCTCTTCATCAGCACATCACTGAAACACAAACTGCAAAGTGTATTATTGCATGCTTTCTGATAATCACGGCATGATGAGTGGAGATGCACCAACATAAAAAATATATTCAGAAAATTCTAGATTTTGGACTAAAAACCAAAAAGTGCTTTTGTAATAATTATTAATCATTTGATATTATGAAAAAAATATTTCTTAATTGATCAAATTTGTTATGTTTTATTAAATATGAAGTAATTAACGTAGACAGAACCTGAAAGTGTCTTATTGCATGCTTTCTGATTGTCATTGCATGATAAGTAGAGATGCACCACAAAACAAAATCCGAAAATCCTGGATGCACTGGATCCAAAGTACTTTGTAATAATTATTAATCATTTTAGATTTTAAAATTAATTTTAATTAACATTTTAATATGTCAACTTTGTAATATTTTATTAAATATGAGATAATTATCTGAGACAGAAACTGGTCAGCATCTTATTGCATGCTTTGATCTTTGCAGAAAGTAGAGATGCACCAAAAAAATGTTAATTAATTTGTAAAATTCTGAATGCACTTGACCAAAAAGTGCTGTGTAATAATTATTAATCATTTTATATTTTAAAAATTATTGTTATTTTATATTTTATTTAATTAAATGTGTTACGTTTAATTAAATACGAACTGTGTGAGACTAAGTTAAATAACTTAAAAATAATAAATAAAAATAAAAATGCACATTTTAAAATATTTAAAGCAATATAAGTGAAATAAAATAAACAAATACATATAAAGTAAAATATTACAAAGTGATTTGAAATTAGGATAATATCAAGTGTAAAAATAAAAAAAACTATAGAACAAAAACAAAATAAACCAAAATAACACACACACACACACACACACACACACACACACACACACACACACACACACACACACACACACACACACACTCAAAACAATCCAAAAATAAAATGCATAATAAAATAAATATAAATAAAAAACAAAAATAAAACGGAAAATTAAAATAAATTATTAAATAAATTATATAAAACATAAAATAGTATGATAATACAGTATAAGATTTAATGAACAAAAAACAGAAAATATAAAATAAAATAATAAAAAATAAAATAAACAATAAAATACATTTTTTATATATAAAATATAATAAAAAAACTGAAATAAAATAAGATAAAGAAATAAAAAATTATAATAACATAAACAAAAAACACACACACACACACACACACATATATATATAAAAAATATATATATATAAGATAGACAAAAATAAAACAGAAATGAAAATTAAAACGTAAAACATGAAATAAAAAATAATCAAAGAAAAAAAATGATAAATAAAATAAAATAAAAAATAATTAAAATAAACTGAAAAATAAATAGCAATAAAAAAGTTAGTTGGTTTCCTGGCATGTGTGTTAACCTGAGGTGACAGTGTCATGACCTTTGACCCCTGTGCATACACTCTTCTTCAGGCCAGTGATTTATGTGTCCTCCTGAAATCGATCTTGTTCTGTTCTGATCAAAGCTGCACTAAAAGGTGTGTGTGTGTGTGTGTGTGTGTGTGTGTGTGTGTGTGTGTGTGTGTGTGTGTGTGTGTGTGTGTGTGTGTGTGTGTGTGTTAGAGTAAAGCATTACAGTGCTCATCCATTATGCATTCGCGTCCGCTGTCATTATATGCCCATTATACTATAGTAACGCTGCTCTTGTGTTTCTCTCTGCAGAGCAAAGCCCGTGTGGAAGTTTTACCGCTGGATTTGGCATCTCTGAGGAGCGTCCGACAGTTCGCAGAGCTCTTCAAAGCCACAAAACTGTGAGTAAAACACTGCCGAAATAAAGCAGATCCATCAGAGACTCAACAAACACGCAATAATCCACATCCTGAAGCTCAAACCTGCTGAATTCACTCAGCATAACAGTTTTAATAACTCTAATAACTGATTTTTTTTTTCTCTTTGCCATCATGACAGTACATATTATTAGACTATTAGACAATATTAGACTAGATATTCTTCAAGACACTAGTATTCAGCTTGAAGTGACATTTAAAGGCTTCACTAGGTTAGGGTAATTAGGCAAGTCATTGTATAACAGTGGTTTGTTCTGGAGATTATCCTAAATTAATATTGCTGAAGGGGGCTAGTTGTCACTGCCAACAGCAATCCAGCCTGTGTGCATCGCTGAAGAACTACAAATCTGCCACTTTAAAGAACTACACATCCAGTCATGCACCACTCACACGCACCTGTTCCTAATTTGATTGATTACACACACACACACACATGGCTGGAAGATGTTCATGAACTGATTAGATGGGTTTGTAAACAGCACACACACACTTCAGTGCTGAGTCTTGTTTACTGTATTTGTATCATTACAGCATCTTTCCCTTGCCTTGCCGTGTTAGACCCTTGCCTTGTTTTATTGTTTATTCCTGTCTGCTGCCTACCTGTACAGACCATTCGCCTGTTTATTGACCACATTTGTTCCTGTGTTGACCATTGCTTGCCTGACCATTCTCTTAATGAGTCCTGTATTTGGTTGTCAGCATCCCATCTCATTACACTAATAATATTGACCTTAAAATGGTTAATATTGATTACCACCCAGTGATTTTATCTAATAGTAATATAGTAATAGTATCAGTATAAATCATACTATAAAGCCAAAATAACATGACAGTGTTTCTTCCCCCTAAAAAATGACAGTGTAATGACAGAGATCACACAGACAGCTGAGAAAATATTCCAGACACGTGTATATTAAATCATAATTACACCTCATTAGCCTAATTAGTGATGAGTGCAGCTCACAGTGGAGAGACTCATCAACATTTACAGATTTATAAAGTGCTGAAATGATAACAGACACACACACAACCGTTCAATCATCCATCTTTACACTGTTATTACGTAATATAATTTCAGATGAATTATGATTAGAACTAAAATGAATCTTTATAATAATAATAATAATAATAATAATAATAATATAGATAATAATAATAATGGTAATATTAATAATATTATAGATAATTTCAACACCAAAACAGCAGAAATAAAAACTAAATATTACAAATACTGTATTATTATTATTACTATTATTATTATTATTATTATTGTGATATTTTATTATTATATATTTTTTGTCTTTTATTATTATATATTTATTATTATATATTTTGTTAATATTCTTTAGTTTATTAACAAAGAATTAGTAATTTATAATAATAACAACAACAACAACAGTAATAAAGATAATGATTAAAATAATAATATTAAATCATCATAATGATAATGACATTATTGCAATCATAATGATAATAATGATAGTAATATTAATGATGATGATAATAATAAAAAAAAAATAATAATAAAAACAGCAAAAACAATGAATAAATAATAAAAATACTGTATTATTATTATTATTATTGTTATTATTGTAATATTTTATCCTTATTTTACTCGTGTATATAATAATAATAATAATAATAATAATAATAATAATAATAATAATAAATAATGATGATGATAAATAATAATAATAATAATAATAATAATAATAATAATGATAATGATAATAATATTAATTATAATATTAATATTCATAATATTAATAATAATAATCATCATCATCCGTACTGTCCTAAGATGATATAATATTCTAAAAATCAAGAAAATCAATAGTAATGTCATTACTACTAACATTAATATAATAATAATAATAATAATAATAGTAATTATAATAATAATTACAACATCAATACAAAAGAAATAAAAACTAAATAATATAATTACTGTGTTGTTGTTGTAAAATTTCAGCATTACATTTTACTCTTATTTTTGTTATATTGCATATAAAAAAAATTTAACTTATAAATAATTAATAATTATTTTACAGTTATTGTATAAATATATCATTTATAATTCGGAATAATTATAATGATGAAACTACTACTACAAAAATTGATTGTTGTTGTTGTTTTTGTTATTATTATTATTATTATTATTATTAATAATAATAAGTAGAAGAAAATACTGTCCTAAAAATTGATAGGAACAATTTTAAAATTATGAGTTGATTAATAATGTCATCATAATATTACCAATAGACTCCATAAAAATGCCATTTCTACTATAACTATAATAATCAAAACAGCAGAAATCATGACCAGATTAAAACTGTTATTATTACTGTAACATTTGTATTATTATAGCGCAAATATGACAACTACAGTAAAGGTGTGTGTTTGTGTGTGTGTGTTTGACCTTCGAGTCTCTGCTGCAGTTTTAGAGGAGCCGCAGATCAGCTCTCCAGGGGCCGCAGGGCTCATCTGGCCCCCGGATGGCCCCGCGGCCAGCAGACACACACACACACACGCACACAGCAGCCCTCCGTCCTGCAGACAAACATCACAAACACACACTCCAGCAGGGTCTTCAGGAAAACACCAGCAGCAGCTCCTCAAAGTCACCCTGAGCAGTGTGTGTGTGCGCGTGCGTGCGTGTGAAAATGTGTGTATCTGTGCTTGTGTGTGAGTGTCTCTGTATACATACGTTTGGGTTTCTTTAAAAGTTTGTGGGAGCATGTGTGTGTGTGTGTGTGTTATTCATTCATTTATTTTCTGTTCGCCTTAGTCCCTTTATTAATCAGGGGTCGCCACAGCGGAATGAACCACCAACTTATCCTGCGCATGCCCTTCCAGCTGCAACTCAGCACTGGAAAACACCCATACACGCGTTCACTGTGTGGATTTCAAAGTTTGTGTATCACAGAGTCGTGTGTGTGTGTCTGCATTTTTCTGTGTATTAGAGGTTGTGTATTACAGTAGACTCCTGTGTGTGTGTGGGTGTGTGTCTCAGAGGTTGTGTATTGCAGTTGGTGTGTGTGTGTGTGTGTGGGTGCGTGTTTGTCTCTCTCTCTCTGTGTCAGGTCTGTGTGTGTGTCTCTCTCTCTCTCTCTGTCAGGTGTGTGTGTGTGTGTGTGTTAAAGCGCCGCGCTCCTCATTTCTTCTCTTCTCTTTGTTCTCAGCCCTCAGTCTGTTCAGGTGTTCATATTTCCACACACTCCGCTTTGTTTTCCTCAGGTTTTTGTAATGTTTAAAGAACTTACACACACACACACACACACACACACACACACACAGTGAAGTGAAGCTGATGTTCTGTGATGTTTCATTTCTCCGTCTATTGATTGCTTGTGGACAAATTCCTGACTCCAGTGTTCAGACTCAGAGCAATGCAATAAAGACACAAACGCACGCGCACACACACACCCACCCACACACACACACACACACACGCACGCACGCAACTAGAGAATATTCTCCACCAAACGACTGTTCTATTGGTTGTGTTTGCATATATTGTGTTATTGATAATTAATCAATAGAGTTGATCAGGCAGATGCTTCATAAGGTTTCTTCAGTCCTTCGCCTCTCAGCTGTGCAGCGTTCTCTTGGAAATAATTATTTGACATTTAATGCTTAAAAGTCTGTTTTGCATCTCATTTTATATTTCTTTAGTGCTTTAGAGGAGTTGAACTAAATTGGCCGTAGTGTATGAGTGTGGGTGAGTGTGTGTGGGTGTTTCCCACTACTGGGTTGCAGCTTGAAGGGCATCCGCCATGTAAAGTATGCTGGAATAGTTGGTGGCTCATTTCACTGTGGCGACCCCTGATGAATAAAGAACTAAGCCAAAGGAAAATGAATGAATGAATAAATATAAAGAAAGTTAAAATAAATCTTGAATGTTTTTAGTGATGTAAACACCTCTTTTATTAGTGATGTAAACACCTCTTTTATGAGAACCGAACAAACTAACACTTACGGTATCTTCACCATAAATATATCAAATTAATGAATACATGTAGAAAAAGTTATTCTAAGTGTTTCTGTTGATGCAAATGCCTATTTTATGAGAACCAAACCACCAAACGCTTATATTCACCAGAAATATGTAAATAAATTAACTAAGTTAAATAAATAAAGTAAAATAAAAAACTAAAAAAATAAATGAATATATAAATAAAATAAGTAAAATATATAAATAAGTAAAATAAATAAATAAATAAAATATCTGAATAAATTAAATAAATAAATAAATATATAAATAAGGAAAATAATAAATAAATTAATAACTTAATAAATAAATAAAAATATATAAAAATAATAAATAAGTAAAAAATAAATAAGTTAAATAAATAAGCAAGATAAATAAATAAAAAATGTATTAAATAAATACATAAGTAAAACAAATAAATAAGTTAAATAAGTAAATTAAGTTAAATAAATAAATATGTAAAATAAATAAGTAAATAAATAAACAAGTAAAATAAATATATAAATAAATAAATTGGCCGTAGTGTATGGGTGTTTCCCAGTACTGGATTTCAGCTGGAAGGGCATCCGCTGCTTAAAAAAAATATAGTGAATAGTTGGCAGTTCATTCCATTGTGGCGACCCCTATTGAAGAAAGGGACTAAGCTGAAAAAGAATGAATGTAAGAAAGTTAAAATAAGTGAGTTTTTAGTGATGTAAACGTCTCTTTAATGAGAACTGAACCACCTAGCTCTTATTTCTCATAAATAAATAAACAAATAAATAAAAAAATGTGTATGAAGTTAAAATAAGTGCGTCTGTAGCAGCGAGTTAACTCCAGTAAAGTGTCCCCTGGTGCAGCAGAGCAGATATTTCTGGCAGAAAGCAAACGTCTCTCGTCTCTCTCTCTCTCTCTCTCTCTCTCTCTCTCTCTCTCTCCCTCTCTCTCCCTCTTTCTGCGAAATGTTAATTTGTGTGTAAACGGCTCTCGGTGG